CTTCTTCAGTTTCTTCCACGACTGGATAAGGTCTTATTCCTAAAATAAATCCCTTCTCAGTCATTACACTGCCCTGAATACACGATGACTGACGTAATTTCTTCAGCTGAAAAATTATGGTTTTAGAGGTGGAAGAAATACTTGTTTAGAATTTGATGATTAGCTACACTTAACTTCCCTCCTACACTCTTCTCCAACATACACACAGACATTCTGCATGACTGAAGACAAAATTTGAGGGATGTACCCACGAGAACATTGCACAAATGAAAATCATTATAAAGGTTCCTGTTTCACATTTGCCAGGGGAGAAAGCAAAATATTCTTCAGCGGGAATCTTTCAAAAGGCATCTCCAAGACCTGTTCAAAACCATACACAGCAGTATATGAAAGCCCTGTTTATGAGGATTAATCATCTGAGGTAGGCGACCTCACATCCCAAACTCTCCATTTGAGTCAGTATCTCTCAATAACTTGTGCAAACACTAGGCTGGTAAGCGCCACCTAATCACGTGACAAATCTTTCTTCCATTTACTCACTCAAACCTTCATGAAATACCTAGGATGTGCCAAGCATGATACTATACGCTGGCTATGGGGTAGTGAATAAATCATGCTACACCCTTACATTTTTCCTTGGGATCTATTGCTTCCGCAGCTCAGAAGGCCTCTCTACTCTTCCCTGCCACTATGGGGAAACAAGCTCAGAAGCCCAAGGCCTCTGTGAAACTGTCCGACCACCTATGTGCACAGTAAATTAACTGTTCCTGCCCACTGAACATCCCTACTCTGTACAGAAGAATCTACTGTACTGTGTTGCTTATGTGCCTGTGAGCCTGAGATCTTCTTATCAACATGGGCTGGGTTAGCCTGATGCTAATATGTCTAGCCTACCATTTTCCACACCGCATTAGTAGTAATTAACTAGTAACATCTCTTCAATTGGATGTTGACCATCGCAAGGTTGGGTTCATATTTGCAACTATTCATGTTTGCCTCTCCAGTATAAAAGCTGTTCCATGACATGGATGGGAACTTGAGCCAAACCAAAAGCTCACTGCCATGGGGTCAATGCGGACTCATAGTGACCCTCCAGGACAAGGCAGAACTATTGCTCCCGTGTGTCTGAGGCAGTGGCAGGTGATTTCGAACTTCATGGTTTTAGCGGCCCAACTTGTAACCACTAAGCCATCAGTCCTTGTTAATTAAATCGTGAATAAGAGATGCATAGAAGAGGTAAGTCTAGATGGCCATAACGTTTCCTAGGAAGTTTAGACCTGTCTTGCTTGTTCATGTAGCACTTGTGATGTTTTTAAAACATGATGACCGGTACAGTGTTTTTGTTTCGGTTTGTTTTTAAGCTGGCACTTCCTAAACCTGAAACTGTGTTAAGAGAAATGAAGGACTTGATGCTGTCTGATATCATGTGAGATTTAGAGATAATAGCACATGAAGCAAGTAAAGCTGAATGCTTTGGGGTATGAAGCTGGCTTGTGGAGTGGGGCGCCTCTGGACACTTAACTAGGGAGTCTGGGTTTGCTGACCCACAGAAGTGGAGGTAAGTGCCTGCCGGTTGTGGCTTACTGGAGAAAGGTGCCTCTGTAGACTTAATTTGGGGAGCTGGGTTTGCTGACCCATGGGATTTGAGCTCAATGCCTTTGGGTGGAGGCTTACCATTGGGCGGATGCTCTTTGGGTATTTATTAACAGCCTTGAAAGGACTTTATAATATGTCTTGAAGCACAACTGTACCCTAAGCATTTCCCACACACATTACAACCTGTGAACCTCCTTTTTAAAAAGAACCCCCAAACTCACTGCCATGGTGACTCCACGCTAACTTTGAGTAGCCCTCTGTTGGTTTCTGAGACTGTAACTGTTTGCAGGAGTAGAAAGCCCAGTCTTTTGACCCTGGAGCTGCTGGTGGTTTCGAACTGCCAACCATAAGGATAGAAGCCCAACATGTAACCACTAAATCACCAGAGCTCCTATTAATTTATTTACTAGCCCCTATAATCATCAACAATGTCTGAGTTCTGTGTAACCACTGCACCTAAATGAAAATTTAGTTAGTGTTGTCTGAGACACAAGGATCAAAACACTTAGTTCCCCAGATGCCAGGGACAGTGCTTGGTATTGGCTCAACAATTTCGTTTCTCTTCCGAAACTTCTCTTGGCTGGCCAGAGAGTGCTCTTTGCCCAAAGTTACAACCTTTCTCAGGGGAAGCTCATGTTCAATTGCTTCTCAATAAAGAATTACAAAATTGCATTTTATAAGGAGCTCTATTGGTTATTGAGTTAATGGGTTATGGCCACAAGGTCTGTAATTCAACCCCACCAGCCACTCCCCAGGAGAAAGATGAGGCTTTCTACTCCCAGAAAGATTTACAAACACGGACATCCACAGAGGCAGTTCTATTCTGTCCTATAGGGTCACTATGAGTCAGAATTGACTAGATAGCAGTGAGGAGTTTTTTTTGTTTGTTTGTTTGTTTGTTTTTGAGATACCATGACAGTACTTTGTGCTAGGGATAAATCAAAGAACAGGATTGGTCATGAAACTTGTACTCAAGACCCAAGCAAGTATATAGACAATTGGATTCTATTAAGTTATATGATAGCGCAGAAAGAACAAACCTAACCTGGTCTTGTGGGGACAAGGTGAGACTTACTAGATGTCTACTCGGAGACCTACGCAGAGTAGGGGTTGGACAAATGAAAACCGTGGGCTAGGGGAGCTCCAGGCAAAAATATGATCACATTAGAAGACCTAATGGCAAGTGACTATAGCATAACCTCAAGAACCTGGAAAGCACTCAATGTAAGTAGAACCAGTAAAGTTACCCAAAACATGGTTCTCTAAGAGTTTTATAAAGCCATGTTAAGGAACACAGATTGTCAATGACTATTTGTTCTCAAAAATATTACTTATTTTGTCTAGTTGTCAGTTTCCTCAAGTATAAACAATGAAAATGATAGTGCTTATCCTACGATTTATGGGGGGGGGTGATGATGTTTAATAAATTAGATTAAGCAACAAAGAGTGTGCACATTTGCTTATTAGTTTTAGGCATAGACAGATAAAGTTTTGATGGTAAAGGGAAGAAACGGAGCAATCATCTTTGCAAAGGCATACAACAGAGTCTGCCCAAGAACCTTCAAAGAAATCAATCAATGTGACATGATGAAGTTACACAAGTAACAGATGTTACTGATTCATTCTACCTCATAAATAGAAATACAGATGAAAAGGAACACTTCTTAAAATCATAAAGCCCTCCAGTTTTACAATACAAAAGTATCTTTAATGTCTACTACTGTCATCTTGAAGACCTTGGCTGCTAATCAAAAGGTTAGTAGTTCAAACCCATCAGCCCTCCTGTACGACAAACATGTGGCTGTCTCCTGTGAAGATTAGAATCTTGGAAACTCCCTGAGGCAGGTGTAGTCTCACTTCTATATAAAGTCCAAACAGATCCTATAAGGTCTGTAAAAGTCAGAATTACCTTGATGGCAATGGGCCGTTTGTCTCTAGACTTTGGTCCTGCACAAATTCTATTAACCTGGCAGTGGCTCTACAAGCCTTAAGTTTACATTCAAGATTAAAGTTTCCTGTGAACACAGCTGCTTTTAGTTACCAAATCCATTGTCACTGAGTGGATTCCTACTCACATATTTATAGGAAAAAGTAGATAGGCCCCATCTGGTTAACAAGGCTCTAATCTTTACAGAAACATCTTTCTCCCATGGAGTGGCTGGTGGGTTTGAACTACCAACCTTCTCAATAGCAGCCTTTAAACACTGCATGACCAATGTTCCCTATACTTTTAACTATGGTGGATAAAAAAACAACAGCCCAGCACCCGGCTATTAAAAGATATAGCATCTGGGATCTTAAAGGCTTGAAGTTAAACAAGTGGTCATCTAGCAGTGAATCAACACAGCTCACATGGAAGCTGCTCACCAGCCTGTATGATCATGAGGTGTTGACAGGAATAGGTACCAGAAGTTCAAAAACAAGCAATCAAATTGATGTGAAAAGCGTGGACAAAGTGGCGACCTAAAACCCACCTGTAAGATAATTAGACAGTCCCTCACAGAAGGGCCACAAGGAAGGGATGACAAATCTAGGGAGCAGTACAGCACTGATGACACTGATAACTACCTCCTAATTCTTTAATATTACCTCCCCTTACTACTATCGTCTTTGTTTCACCTCACTAATTTTATTAGACCTGCACATGTTCATTTGTAGAATTAAGAGCAATCGATGGATGAAAACCAAGATAGATAACCCTTCGATGGGGAAGAAAAGGGATAAAGGGGAGCTGGCATCAAAGAGTTCAAGAAGAAAGATAATGTACTGAAAAGGATGGTGGTAGCATTTGTACAATTATTCTTGATCTAATTGAAATATGAATTATTACAGTACCTGTAAGATTTTTAAATCTGACATTAAAAAAAATTAAAATGTCTTAGTTGCGTCTCAAAAAAACCTCCAAAACAAACAAACAAAAAACCAGCCTGAAACCATAAGCCTGCTGTCTGTCCCATACACTAACTTAATGCATACCTTCAAAAAGTAGTTGTTACTTTTTCCCTTTATCATTATAGTGAGATTTTTTAAAAAATCCAATGAACCCTAGCCATAGGCAAATTCTAGTATAAGATGTAGAAGTTACTTTTCAGTTTGACATAGCTTCTTCACCAAACATCAGGCTTTTAAGAAACAAGTCTGTTGAGGAATTGTTGAGATAATCTCAAATTTCTAATAAGAGGGTCACTACCTTCAAAACAGACTAGATCTCAATGAGTTTGTTGCTGTTGTTTTAACAATGGTATGATGAGCAGGTTTGCAAGCAAAATCATAGGCTAAAATGATAAAATCTTGCTGTATGTTTGCACTGAAAGGCAGACGAATAGCAAAACAGTTAAGTCACCGCCTGCTCTTATAGCTGTGGCATGTTAGGAAGGACAGGCATTCTCTCAATCGTTTCCTACCTGCTGTCCATATTCCACTCAAGGGCGGGATTCTGAGAATTTCTTTCACTCTCTGTCAGCGCCCCGCCTGTGCCTGTTTCCTTCTCGGGTTTCAGCTGATCCCACTGTGCAGTGCCGATGCTGATAGACTGCAGGTCGATTTGATACTGTCGGTCTTCGATTTCTGAACCAGGATCTCGAAGAATTCCTAAATTTAAGGCTCTCCTGCAATGACAGTGAAAAATTGATTGATTGTGGGGATGGTTTGACAGCTCTTCTTGATATGCTTGACCTACTGAATTGTAGCTTGTGACTTATATGCCAAAAAAAACTATTAAAAAAATGAAAACCATAAAGACAATAAAATGGTAAAAAAGGTAAATAAACAAAACAAACATGTTTATATTATTCAATAGTATAGTATTATTTTTCTTTTGAATTACAGATTAACAGAGTAGACATATATATCTATAATATAGGAATTTGAAGTTTACCACATATTTTGTATTGGATGTACACTTGAAAACTATCACTTAGAACAACATAATTTCTTGCACTATTTCAGGCAATGGGCAGTGTGATCCAGTAACTTATTTCAGTCCTTGAGGTGCTGTAAGATTTTATAACTATCTCTATTTTTACCAAAGGGAAAATAATTCAGGAAGGTTGAAAGATTTGGACAAAGTTAGTATGTGACAAAAATCATAACTTAAATTCAGGAGTTTTTATTCAAATGCTAACGGATGACCTTTTACAGAAGGAACTTTGTTTCATTTCATTAATAGAAAAATTTGGTGGAGGAGTTCTGTTAATTTATATTTTCACTTCCCTGCTTCTGCCTTTGTTTGTTTGGGTTTTTTTCTTTCTCAATAAACAAAAGCCCATTTTATTAACACCATTTATCTGTCAGTGTGTCATACTATCATGGCCTGTAGGTCACTGTGATGCTGGAAGATGAGCTGTGCATATTTTAAATACCAGAAGGTTTATCCATGGTGGACAGATCGCAGTGGAGCTTCAAGACACACTTGAAAGCAAGGAATTGGAGATTTAAAAACAAAAAATAACCAGATAAACCGCTCAGGACCAATATTGAAAGTAGCGATACCAGGAGGGGAAGGGGTAGGTGGGGGAGAATGGGGGAACCGATCATAATGATCTACCTATGACTCTCTCCCAGGGGGATGGACAACAGAAAAGTGGATGAAGGGAGACATTGGTCAGTGTAAGACATGAAAAAATAATAATTTATAAATTATCAAGGGTTCATGAGGGAGCGAGGGTGGGAGAGAGAAACTGATAAATGAGAAACTGATACCAAGGGCTCAAGTAGAAAGAAAATGTTTTAACAATGGTGATGACAACAAATGTACAAATTTGTTTAACACAATGGATAGAGGGAGGGATTGTGATGAGTTGTACCAGCCCCCAATAAAATTATTTAGAAAATAACAACCAGTGAAAATTTATAAATAGCAGTGGATCACTGTCTGATATGATTATACTACTGCAAGATGAGACTCTCAGGTACAAAGGCATTCAGAATACACCTAGGGAAGAGCTGCCTCCTCAAAGCAGAGCTGACTTCCATGATGTTAACAGACTTTCACTTACTGGTGTGGCACGATCAAAATGAGAAGAGACTACTGCAAACTCTATTAAATAATGAAAAGATGGAGTGAACCAAGTATGAATTTTGAAACTTGTAGGTTGCCAAAAATGAAATCAAATACCTAAGATGGATAAGCTATGCCTGAAGGAGTGGAAATAGACTGGTCCTGGGCATTCTGAGTGGGCAATCATATGGTCTATGGCAAGAATGAGAGACGAAAGAAGAAGGGTGCCAGACTCATAGTCAATAAGAACATGTCCAAGATTGGTCCTAACGGCAATGCTCCAGTGACAGGTTAGTAGTTATCCGTATACCTACAAAGACCACCAGATGGTGAGACTGTCATACAAATGCCTACAACCACCACGAATGCCAAAGATGAAACTGACTGGGCTTGGTTTATTTTGTGTCAACTTCTGTAGTTTGCAATTGATCAAACAGGCAATTGAGATCGCACTGATCATTACTGGTGTTTAGAAGTGAAAGTGGAAATAGAGGATACTCATTTGGAAAATATGGCCTTAAGAGAAACTATACCAGATATTGTGTGATAGATATTTGAAAAACCAATGAAATATTTGCTGGAAATACCTTATTTCTTTCCCCAAAATATAAATAGCAAGTACACACATGGACCACACTGGACAGAATACACATGAATCAAATCAACTCCATGTGTGGGAGAGATGATGTAAAAGCTCAATGTCATCAGTCAGAACAAGGTCAGGGGTTGACTGTGAAGGAGACTATCAAAAGCAAGTTCAAGTGGAAGCTGGAAAAAAAATGTTTTTTTAACAAGTCCACAAGAGCCAATTACACTGAGTATGTACCACCTGAATTTAGGGACCCTCTCAAAACAGATTTGCCATATTGAACTCTAATGATCAAAAACCAGACAAGATGTTGCGATAGCATCAAGGGCATAGTACATGGGAAAAAAAGCCAACAGGTTATTAAAAAGGCCATAAAAAAAAGACCAAAGTCAATGCCAGAAGATCCTCTAGCACTTGCTAATAAACAGCAACTTCAAAGGACAGTTGGATAAAACAAAGTAAAGGATTATCATGACATGTGCCAAGATCTAAAGTTAGAAAACCAAAAGGAAGAAAAAGCTCAGGCTGAAATAACTGAAGAAAATAATGAAAGCTTGGAGTTGCAATACTGTAGGATTGTATTTGAAAAATATTGAATGATGCAGGAGACATCAAAATAAAATGGAAGCAACACGAAGAGAGTCACAGCACACCAAAAAGAATTGGTTGATGTTCAACTATCTCAAGAGGCAACATCCCCTCAAGAACTTACAGTAAGAACAAGGTGAAACTGCACTGAAAGCACAGGTGATGAACAAGGCTCTAGGAACTGCCAGAACACAGATTGAGATGTTTCAAAAAATGGATGCCCTGTGGAAGTGCTCATTCATCTATGCCATGAAATCTGTTTGACAGCTCCTTGGCTAACCAACTGGAAGAGTTGCACATTCCAAAGAAAGGTGATAAAACGGGCTGCAGAAATTATGAGCCAATATCATTAACAGCACACGTAAGCATAATTTTGTAGGAAATAATTTTAAACAGATGCAGCAGTACCCTGGCAGGGAATTGCCAGAAAGTCTAGCTGGATTCAGAAGATATGGAATGAGCATTATCGTTGCTGATGTCAAATGGATCTTGGCTGAAAATAGAGAGTATCAGAACAATATTCACTTCTGTTCATAAACAACACTTGACTATTGTATATACCTGTGTATAAGCCGAGTTTTTCAGCACAAAAAATGTGCTGAAAAACTGGAGTTCGGCTTATACACGGGTCAGTGGTACCTGACAGACCCAGACCCAGACCCAGCCGCTCACCGCCTCGATGCTGCTCAGTATAGCCGCCTCGAAGACCCAGCCACAGGGCGCATGGCTGCCTTGCAGACCCAGCCGCTTACCTTATTGCCGCCTCACCACTGCTAGTGGTGGGCGTGGCAGCACGCAGAAGAGGCTTTCAGTCGGCTGCATCCTCATCCTCCTGTGGTTGCTGCCGGCAAGTAAGAGTCAGTGCCATCGTGCAGACCGTGAGCTCAGGGAATAGTACACTTAAGGCATCATTGTTGATACCTTACTGTTTTAGTTGAACCCATTTTCCACTTACTGTGCTGGTTTACTAATGTTAAATGACTGGTTGTCATTTTATTTATGTTTTTTATTTAAAATAAATATTTAAATACATTACCCCACTGATGTCTCAACTTTTATTAATTTTATTTACATTTGTTATGATTATCGAAACTCACCAATAGCTTCTGCATTTCCCACCCTAGGCTTATACTCGAGTCGATCAGTTTTTCTGGTTTCCCCGGTAATAATTAGGTACCTCGGCTTATACTCGGGTCTTCATTTGAACAGAACAAGGAGCTACTATATCGTTCAAATGAAGACCGTGTGTGCCAGGGCTGTATCCTTTCACCAGACTTAATCCATATCTGAGCAAACCACCTAAAAGGCTGGACTAATGGTGGAGGGAAGCTGGGGAGAAGAGGGCAGGAAGGGGGAACTGATGTCAAAGATTGACACATAACCACACACACCCCTCCAGGGGAATGAACAATGGAAACCATGGGGGAAGGGAGACAGCGGTCGTTATAAGATATGAAAATAATAATTTATAATTTATCAAGGGATCATGAAGGTGGGTGAGGGGAGGGAGGGAAAAAAGAAGAGCTGATACCAAGAGCTCAATAGAAAGTAAATGTCTAGAAAAGAATGATGGCAACTTATGCACAAATATGCTTGATACAATTGATGTATGGATTGTTATGAGTTGTAAGAGCCCCCAATGGAATGATCTTTTAATTAAAAAATTTTTTAAAATCAGAGGCTGCCCTGTATGAAAAAGAACACAGCATCAAGAGTGGAGGAAATGATTTGGTAACATGGAATTTAGAAATGACACAACCTTGCTTGTTGAAAGCAAGGAGAACCTGAAACACTGGCAGAAATCAAAATTACAGCTTCCAGTATGGTTCACAAATCAACTTAACGAAAACAATAATTCCCACAACTGGAGCAATGAGCAACATAAACAAAATAAGCAGAGAAAATGTTGAGGTTGTCAATGATTCATTGTACCCAGACCCACAATGAATGGCCATGAAAGCAGCAGCCAAGCACCCAGACCCGTTACACTGGACACCTGTGCTGCAAAAGCAGACCTTTTCAAAATGGTTAAGCGCAAGGACGTCACTAAGGTGCAGCTGACTCAAGCTACGTGTGATAGTTAAATTGTAAGTTATCCTGGGTGGACCTGGATTCTCACTAATTTGTCAGTTATGATATAATCTAGCAGTTACTTAATGATGTAGTCATCCTTCACGAGATCTTATATAATTTCATCAACTTCATGATATTTGCTATAATGCAATCATTTATAAGATAAAATATGTTATGAGCTGCCAATCAGTTGAAAGGGAGTTTCCTCAGGGGTGTGGTCTGCAATATATACATATATAAACATTCTGGCAAACCACTTCACTTTTTTGCTTATTCTGGATCCCCTATATATCCTGTTACCATCTAACCTCTGGTTCTTGGAACTTGAGTTAGAAGCCTGCCTGAATGCCTGCTAATCT